CCCAGCATAATGGTTCAAATCATTCCTAAATGGAATTCCATCTGTGACAAGTTCAGGAGTGACATTTATCGATGAGGCAGCACAACTCGTATGTCATCCAAACAAATGTAATTAACTTTCGATGCAAAAACGCCATCTTGATAACACGAGCCCACCAGGAGAAAGCCAAATGGTTTTTCCTACGTGGCACCATTAGAGGTAAGTTAGATATCCATGAAGTGATATTGCCTACATGGCATCACAACTCCACCATACCAAGCATGCTATGTTATTAAGTGCCGGTAGAAACGCCTCACATGGACCCACACAAGCGCATCACAATGGTAGCTCATGTGCTTATGACGTACCTGTGATCGGTGGATCTGGAACTGACTGTTTAACGCTGGTTCGCGAAATGTCGCGGAAGCAAGAGTCGCCACCGTCTTTTATTTTCTCCAAATGGAAAGGACAAAAGCACAGAAAAATTCCTTAAAGAGATTGCTCTCGGTTCGGGAGGTAGGTTATAGAAAGGGAAGGTGTTAGCACCCTTTCTATCCATGGTTATCCATGGGCTCTTAGATACTTGCTCAATGTGTTTTCAAAAAGGTTTGTTTGCTTTTCAATATGGGTTTAAAAAGTTTCTTTGAAAAAATTCAGTTCGACTCATACGTCAGAGTGTTTGAAAAATTTGCTTTGAAAGCTTTTGAAAATGTGTTGGTGTGAAAAGTATTTTGTTTTGTTTTTGAAATTAGAGCAAGTATCCTTGAGAACCTACCTACCCTAAGGAATTCGTCTGTGTAAGAGTCCTTTAAAGTAGTGCCATCCCACCATTGAGAGGTAGGTAGCACCACCGTTGGAGGTGTTCGGGTCAATTCGAGTTTTAGGGACATGGTGATCACCAGAGCAATGGGAAGACACCTTAGAAGCTACCCTCATGCCAGGTTCCCGGATCATGAGGACTTACTAAGACGTCCTCTACTCGACGATCACCTTTCGAAAGGCAACAGTGAGGCGTACCCTAAGGGTGGTGTGTGCGATTCGTGTGTCGTTTTCAGATATTGGTCTTGTCATGTTTGTTGTGATCTACGCTTGATTTTAATTAGGGCCATTCATTCTTGCATGCTTATTTAACAGTTAATATTTGCGAGGAAAATAAATCTAAACTATTACACATGGCGCGGGTCCACATCGCCAAAATTAAACCGGACCCGATTTGACAGAAAAGTAAAGAATTAAGGTAAAGTGCGAGAAAGTATAAATTGTTACAACGCTTTGGGAGAATTACATGATTATAATAAGCGACATAAAATAAACGTGCGAAATTGACAATTAAAATATGGGCGTTGGACCCTTTTTTGCAAAAATTAAAATTAATAAGGAATTAAAAATTAAAATTAAATGTTTTTGGTATTTTGTGTTTTTTAGGATTTAAGGAAAGAAGAGAACTAATTAAAATTACAATAAAATGTCAAACCCTAATTCTAATTATTTTTAGTTATTTAAGAAAATATTGAAATTTTTAACTAAATGAAACCCTAATTTTTTATGTACAATTTAATTATAAAATAAATAAATAGTATTATTGTTAAAAAAGGGAAAATGTTAAAAGGAATAAAACTTGTTAATTAACCTAATTCTACCTTTTTTATATTTATTAAAAAGAATTAAACTTGCAAAAACCCTAATTAAAATTTAATAATTACATGTTAATTTATTTACAAGAAAATAATTACAATAAGCATATTTATTATTTTTTGGTCTTTTCTGACTTTTAATGAAGTTTTTGTATTTTGTAAAAAAATAAATTAATTAAATCAGAAAATAAAATAACAAATAAAATAAAAAGGAAGAAGCAAACCAGGGGGGGTAGCCCCAATTTAGGAGGTTTTGATCCAGTAATGTGGCCCAATCTTGCAAGGCCTGATTGACTTTTGTGCGTTACATGCAGTGCATTGACTAAGGTACATCGTGCTCTTTAAATCTGTGCCTTTGGTGTGGTCGTCTGGGACACGTGTATGCTTAGATCTGATGAGCGCATGGTAATCCTCAACGTGAATGCTGCACAGGAACAATTATGGAAAAATAATATGAACGTTATACAGACCTGGGACTCGAACCCAGGTCTTGCACCTTACCAGTCAACACCTGTACCACTACGCCATTTGAATCATATTTAACATATAATAAACGACAATTAATAAAAGAGATAATGTGGGCTAGTGCTTGGAACGCGCGCAAATTTGAAACAGCCAGTCACGTCTTGCCACCGAGTCTTCTTCTTCGTTCTCTTTTTTATTTTCTGAAACATAAAAACAAAAAGCAACGGTTTTAACCCGTTGCCATAGAGGCCATATCAAAAAATAGCGAATAGGATTCTATTGGTCATAAATTCATCGCGAGTACACCATTCTAATCGTCCAGACGCGTTGAATTTAATGGTCTTAGTCCCAGCCTCTAATTTTGCCTGATTGCAAAAACCCCAATTTTAAGGTTGAAGAACCCTAATCTGCATCAATGGCATAATCATGGATATAGCACCAAAACGCAATTAATGTAAACGGTTAGCTTCAGAATCTCATAACAAACATTAATTCATGAACAAAATGCTGCGAAAATGCTTAAATTTGAGAATACGACTATGCAATTTTCACAAGATATCTCAGGTTCTGTATACCAATTCCTCACGTGTTGATGGTTGTTCTTGATTGGGGAATGCTCAGTGATGTTTCAGGAAGCTATTAGAATGGTCTTTGTGCCTTGAATCGCCCTCTAAAGTTGGATTCAGTATTTGAGTTCTATGGACAATTTTCAAGTTTTGTAAGTCTCTTTCTGCGCAGCTTAGGGTCTTCTTGCATTAGGTTTGTATTCCTGTATTTGTATGGAAGGCATTAGGTTAACAAAACTAGCACAAATCTCTTGCAATTATGGATTAAGGATTTGATTTGTTAAGGATCTTTTTCATATCTTTCCATGTGCATTTTGTATCAATTTGCATCCAATTAGTCCAAATCTTTCCCTATTAACCTATGCACGAAATATTGATGGCAAATTATGCATAAAAAGATTGGTTAAGGTAAGTTTTATATTTTCCACATATTTATATAATTTAAATGAATTAATATTAATAGAAATTCAAATAAATAAATAAAAAATGAGAAAATACTTCCCTTTGGGCCAAGTGGTCGTGCATAGGCTTGGAATGATGAATCATGGAAGAAAATAGGGCCCATTAGCAATTTTAGGTCACTTGGACCATTGTTGACTTTTCAAAATTCCCAAAAATTTCCCAACTTCCACAAGGCATAACTTGCTCAATTTTTAAGCTTCTCACATGTTCTTGGACATTTTGGAAAGGTCTTTGAGTCCTCTAACCAATGCCTTTGGTCTCATGTCATTTTGATTTACCAATCTCAAGTTATGGCCTTTGACTTAAAGTCCCTTTTTGTTGACTTTTGAAAATGACCTATAATGTTGAAATTGATAACTTTTTGTGAGAGCATTTCTTGGACTTGGAATATGAAGATGAATTGTAGGAAATGTCTTTCTCTTCAAAATGAGCTTTGGATGGAATTTTTCTGATAATCCATGTGAAAGTTATGCCCTGGTCAATTTCAGTTGACTTTTTCAGCTGTCCAAATATAGTAACTTTTGCATCTTTGATGATTTCTGAGCCAAACTTTGAGAATCATGATCAAGCATTGATCAAATGATGTTTGTGGCTTCAAAATGATATGTTGACCAAAAATTTGAACTTTTGACTGCCAAATGACCATTTTGCCCCTACAGTCGACTGTAGTGCAATTTAGGGTTTTGACTGTGCAATTTTGAGCTGAATGCCTTGAAACTTGATATGAAGATACTTGACCATTTTTGTAGGCATGTGAGACTTGATTGGGCCTTTGAAAACTTCCTTTTCTTGATCAGAACCCAAACCCTAGTTTTGACTGTATAGGGGACCTTTGCACTGCACAACCCTTGGGGAATTTTGTGACTTGACTTGGCAATTTCTTGATGAATATGGGAGGGCAAATTTTGGGGTACAACAGTACCCATATCACATAGCAAGGTATCCCAGATCATATAGCAAGGCACAAACTAAAGATCACATAGCGTTAGTCGTGGTCATAAGTGATTTATGTCCTGGTAGTCGGCCTACTTCGATTCTAGCATACATCCACCGAGAACACACAACACGGTATAATAAACACACCATATCAAGCCACATGGAAAATTCATCTGAACGTTCAACCAGAACAATGGGAGACAACAATGATCACGTAATATCATTTAACAAATAATACATTTCCATCATATACATGTATTATCAATCATTCTCACAAAGAATGCAATTAAGCATATATAATCAATAACCAAACAATAAGTGGCATACACATCACTTTACTCGTTACTTAATTCACTGAACTAACAGAGGCGTCTGCTTCACTCATAAAATGGAACTGCACAAAAAGGGAATCATTCACCACAAAAGTTTCAACATAAAACTCATAATTAGTGTTATTAAAAGTGGTCCTCAAATGCTTATTTTTGCATCATAACATGTTCATAGAAGTCATAGCAGACTAAGAATATGTCCGACTATCATTACGGGACGCTACGACACTCCATGAGAAAGTTCAATTTCTCGAGGCAGTAGCTTCCGCACTAAGCGTGGTCTGGCCCGCGCTAAGCACAACCTGGGAATTTTATTTTTTCCATTTTCAGGAAAGTGTGCTAAGGGAAAAAACTCGCACTAAGAGCGGTCTTCAAATTCTGTAGAAAATTAGGACGAACTCAGTTCTATCACTGGGTCCCAAAACCCCATTTTCACCTTCAATCTCAATTACCCACATCAATTAAATATGAGTTTCAGGTTAGGCACATGTTATTCATCAATAAAAACTAACATGCATCATTGATTTCTCGACCTAACCCTTAAACTCCAAGTTCATACTAAACCCTTAAAACTCCAAGTCTCTATCTATGAGATTCACCTTGGTAAGGATGATGAAGAGCTACGAAAATCATAAGCAAAGATGATAAGGATGGATAATCTTGAGTTGCATGCAAGAGATGGGGAAGGTGAAGCTTTCTTCTTCTTCTTTCTTCTTCTTCTTCTTCTTCTTCTTCTTCTTCTTCTTCTTCTTCCTTCTTCTTCTTCTTCTTCTTCTTCTTCTTCTTCTCCTTCTTCTTCCTTCTTCTTCTTCTTCTTCTTCTTCTCCTTCTTCTCCTTCTTCTCCTTCTTCTTCTTCTTCTTCTTCTTCTTCTTCCTTCTTCTTCCTCTTCTCCTTCTCCTTCTCCTTCTCCTTCTCCTTCTCCTTCTCCTTCTCCTTCTCCTTCTCCTTCTCCTTCTCCTTCTCCTTCTCCTTCTCCTTCTTCTTCTTCTTCTTCTTCTTCTGCTTCTTCTGCTTCTTCTTCTGCTTCTTCTTCTGCTTCTTCTTCTTCTTCTTCTTCTGCTTCTTCTTCTGCTTCTTCTTCTGCTTCTGCTTCTTCTTCTGCTTCTTCTTCTGCTTCTTCTTCTGCTTCTTCTTCTTCTTCTTCTTCTTCTTCTGCTTCTTCTTCTTCTGTTGCTTCTTCTGCTGCTTCTTCTGCTTCTGCTTCTGCTTCTGCTTCTTCTTCTGCTTCTTCTCCTTCTTCTCCTTCTTCTCCTTCTTCTCCTTCTCCTTCTCCTTCTCCTTCTCCTCCTTCTCCTTCTCCTTCTTCTTCTTCTTCTTCTTCTTCTTCTTCTTCTTCTTCTTCTTCTTCTTCTTCTTCTTCTTCTTCTTCTTCTTCTTCTTCTTCTTCTTCTTCTTCTTCTTCTTCTTCTTCTTCTTCTTCTTCTTCTCCTCCTCCTCCTCCTCCTCCTCCTCCTCCTCCTCCTCCTCCTCCTCCTCCTCCTCCTCCTCCTCCTTCTTCTTCTTCTTCTTCTTCTTTTTCTAACCTCTATAGACTATGATATCTATAATATTTTTTACTATATTCGTGGTATCCACAACATTGCCAAAACTTTTATTATTCCTCATGTTCCAAAGTTCGTAGATAGTTTAGTTGCCGCCATTTTAATCACATGAGCTCGAGGTCCTTTGCCATTCGTTTGCTGAGTAATCCATTGAATCTCATTGCGCCTGTCGCTGGGGGTATGCCTAACCAGTATCCATTTTAAAATTTCCAACCAAATTTCCCTCATAGCATCACATTCAAAGAATAAATGCTGGATCGACTCCTTTTTCGCGCAAAAACAACAATCCTTGTTGTCAATCATTCTAAACCTATATAGTCTATCTTTTGTTGCTAATTTTTTATGACAAGTGAGACAAAAATAAAGCGTGCTCGGGGTCTAGCATTATTCCCATAAAGTAGATTTCTCCATTCCACTTTTATGCCAAAGTCCTGCAGCTTCCTATAAAGTTTACTCATGTTGAACTTGTGCCAACCCATTATGTCCTCCCAGTCAGCCAATCTCTTGACATCAGTTCTCTGGCTCAGGATAGCTTTCATAATTCATGTATCATTGGGTTTAACAGCAATCTCTATCAAATTCTTCTTCTTCATATAATATACTTGGATCCACCGAACCCAAAGAGAATCTTCCTTCATACTCAGGTTCCAAAGGAGTCTAATCCGATTGGTTTTGTTCCAAACCTCTATATCAATGATATTTAATCCACCGTGACACGTAGGTCTGCAAATTTTCTTCCATGCAACTGGCGTCTTTCTACTACCTTCGAAACCTCATGTCTATAAAAAGATTTGGCAGATAGACTCTATGGATCACACTTTTGGGAATAGGGAAGACTTGCAATCAATAATTAGTCAATGTAAATGTTACACTATTGATAAGCTGTAAACATCCTGCATACGTCAATATTCGAGTGGTCTAATGCTTAATTTTACACACTATTCGAACCAGAGGCATATAGTGGCATATGGGAAGCTTTTTCCTATCACGGGTACTCCCAAATATTTAAATGGCAGATGGCCCTCTTGAAATCCAGTGATGCTGCGAAGAATGTCATGTCTAGTCTCTATCTTCATTCCTGCAGAATATAATAAGAATTTTTATGGATTTACAACCATTCTTGTCACTTTAGAAAACTGTCTGAAGGTGTTCAATATCATCTCCACAAAAACTATGACACCTCTCACAAACAATAAAAGATCATTGGCGAAACATAAATTAGTAATCTTCACTTTTTCGCACTTGGGGTGATAATTGAAGTTAATATATTTCTGCATCTTGCAAAGGTATCTATTTAAGCACTCCATAACTATTACAAAGAGTAAGGGTGATATGGGACCACCTTATCTCATACCTCTCCTTGCTTCCATAATATCTGTATACTGACCGTTGACATTGAATCTATATTGACATTGAATCTATATGACACAGTAGTTACTACAATTATGATCCAGTTTGTGAATTATCTTGGGCATCCTACCTCATTCAGTATACTTTCAAGCTCATTCCAATCCATTGTATCATATGCTTTCTGAATATCCATCTGCATCAAACATCTTGGAGTAATATTCTTTCTATCGTATCCTTTGATTAGCTCGTATGCGAGAAGAATATGATTGTGAATGTTTTGTTCCTTTACAAAAGCAGCTTGATTATCACCTATAATTTGTTCCCAGTACCTTACTCAATCTATTGGCCAACACTTTTGAAATGATTTTGTAGAGAGTGACGCAACATGTTATAGGCATGTATTCCTTTATTTCTTTTGCATCATTATTTTTTGGAATCAACGTGACCATTGAGCAATTGGACGCCTTGTAAATTCTGTTGTTAGTAAAGAAATATTGGATCGTTTTCATCAAATCATTATTAATGGTATGCCAGGCTTTTTTGAAAAAATGGGACCCAAATCCATCTATACCAGGTGACTTGTCATTACCAATGCCTTTGAGTGCTATGAGAACCTCCTGCTCGGTAACAGTGGCAGTTAAAATATATCTCTGATCATCCTTCAATTGTGCTCCTACTCTCATTGCATTTGTATCAATACATTCTAGGTTAGATGAAGCTGTCCTCATGAGATTTTTGTAAAATTCCACAACCTTGTTCTCCAGTTCATTTTGGTAATTAATACCATAATGAAGTTTTTGGAGACGGGAGCTGATCTCCCTAAACTTACCCGCTTTGGTCATCCCCCTAACATTCCATGATATAATCATGGAACAACCTCTTGTAGCACTGCGGCTGATCCATCCCCAAGTGCTGCAAAAAAAATTCCATGATTGATCTTATGAGGAATGCTAATTGATTGTTTACCATTCATACTCTTTCTACTATTATTAGTAAAGAATATAAAAATTTATATTGATAAAAGAAGTATTAATATAAAATTTATTTTAGAAATTTAAATTATGAATGCATCAATTAAAATTAAAATTTATTATAACAATGTGAAATGTAACGTACATTTAAATTTTTATTAAGAGACATGTTTAAATATAATTCTATCTTTTATTTTATATTAAAGTTATTCCCTTTTCTGTAAAATTTTAGAATTTAATATTTTTAAAACTAAGCTTTCTAACGACCAAAAAGCTATCCTACCCCCAAAAAAAAAACTAAGGAAAAAGAAAGAAAAAAATAAAATAAGATACATATATATCATAAGTATATTTTAAATCATTTATCTTTGTTATTTCTTTTACCTTTAACATATTTCATAAAGAATAATGTACATTTCTTTAATATCAGTGCACATGAAAACACATATATTTTTTATTCTTATTAAAATATTTACTTTGTACACCACATCTTTTGTCTCTTAACATTCTTCTAATAATATAATTCAAATAAAATAAAAATAGTCGGTCTTATTTCTCAATCTAAAACTTGTAAAATACATATTAACATTACTAAAAAAATAGAGCTTGAATATTTGATTCTTTGATATAATAGTAATTTGAGCTATATTGACATAGATAACAAATGAATAGTCTTTTACTTTGCTACAAAAACAAATGAATAATCAAGACATGTGTATAAAATAAGAAATAAAAAAACTATCATACAATTTTAAAGAGTACTAAAAAGGTAAAGATCTGAAACTAAACTCACATACACGCATAGCATGTAGAATATTAAAAATTAGTAAAATTATATCAGAAAGTTTTATTATTAAAGGTCATCTAAAGCTCTCTTAACCAAGTTTAAATCTCCAATATCCAACTTCTATAGATGAAGAGTGTTATCTGGATAGAAAAGTAGACTAATAATGATTTTTAATATTTATATTTTTTGTTTCACATCAATATTTTTATGAGTGGTAGTCATCTTCTCAATTAGATTCACTTCAACAATGAATCCAATCACATCTAATCAACAAAAATATATAATATATTATACATACAAATAAAATAATTGAATATGAGATTCAATAGTAAGATAAACTTGTAAGTGTTTAGTTATTGGCATGTATTTTTGGTAAAACCAGGTGTGTAAATGTCATGACTGATGTCATAACATTCTGGATTATTAGGTACTTTATGCAGAAAAAGTATAGCATACAGTAGCTACTGTTTATGAGTGTGTATCTGAGCATTTTGCAATGATCACATTTATTGCCTTCTACCTAAATCAGTAAACAGGAATTCTGATGTCATAACAAATGTTAAGACATCCTGTACTGATCTAACAGATATGCAGTTTGGTTAATTCTGAGATTTTTCAGGAAGATGGCTCATTCCTTCCAGAACAGAATCTCACGTGGACTTTGGGTTAACCTAGCTCAACCCTAATCTGGTTGATAAAGTCTTGTGACCAAGTCTTAAGGTTAAACCTAATTAACCCTAACTTTTTGTGGAAACCCTAACTGAAGAAACAACTGCATATATATTCAACAGGAATGCTGGTTGCAAAGTAACTCTTTTGACTGAAGATCAATTAGGAGCTGTATAGTTTTAACTGTTGTAATCCAAGCAAGTATCATTGTGATAAGTGACTTGGAATAGGTTTTGATTGTAAGGATTTTTGTATCACTCAAAGCTTTGAAGCAAGAGTGTTTTATGTCTCTTGACTAAAGCTTTGAAGCAAAGTCAAGTTAGGTTTATGTATCACTCAAAGCTGTGAAGCACGAGTGTTTGTGTTACTTGATTAAAAAGCTGTGAAGCATAATCAAGTGTATGTTCTGAAGAGTGTCTTCATTATTTCATTAGAAAATTGTTTTAAGTATCACTGCTGTGATTGAGGGGGGGTGAGTAGGAACTCAGGTTTAAGTTGAACTTAGATTGAAGTTGCATTGGGTAGGTCTTAAGTGAAGGAGATAAACTGGTTGGTTTATTCCTGAATTAATATCTCTTATAGTGGATTTCCTCCCTAGCTTGGTAGCCCCCAGAGTAGGTGTTGTTTCACACTGAACTGGGTAAACAATTGACTGTGTTTTTTACTGTTTTTATTTACTGTCTTATAGAAAGTCAAATACGGTGTCATAACATTCACTGTGACATTGAGTATCTGCTGCCAGAATTTCAATTGGCATCAGAGCAGGCACCCTGCCTATATTACTGGGTGAGATCTAGGGATATCACTTTCTGGCACTATGGACAAAGAAGGAGTTTTTGGAAATAGACCACCCATTATGGATGGAACAAATTATGACTACTGGAAACCTCGTATGATTGCCTTCTTAAAATCTCTGGACAAAAAGGCTTGGAGAGCTGCTGACAAAGGATGGAACCATCCCACCATAACTGAGAAAGATGGGACAATCAGTCTGAAGCCTGAGGAAGAATGGAGCAAAGAAGAAGATGAGTTAGCCCTGGGTAATTCCAAAGCTTTAAATGCCTTGTTCAATGGAATTGATAGAAACATATTCAGACTAGTACATCAATGTGAACTGGCCAAGGAAGTGTGTGACACTCTCAGAACTACCCATGAGGGCACATCCAAAGTAAAAATGTCAAGGCTTCAGATGCTGACTACCAAGTTTGAGAACCTAAGGATGAAGGAAGATGAAACCATTCATGAGTTTCACATGAACATCTTGGAGATTGCCAACACCTCAGGAGCATTGGGTGAAAAGATGTCTGAAGAAAAACTGGTGAGAAAGATTCTCAGATCCCTGCCTAAAAGATTTGCAATGAACTCATTGGGTCTCTTCAGACTTTTGAGATGGGGATCAGTGACAATGTTGACAAGAAAAACAAGAGCATAGCACTTGTATCCAACACTGAAGATGAAAACAAGGAGGATGAAGAAGAAAATATTTCAGAAGCTATAGCCATGCTTGGAAGACAATTCAACAAACTCATCAAGAGAATGGATCCAAAGTCAAGGTCAAATGTTGATAACATTCCCTCTGACATTAACAGATCTTATGACTCCAGCAGAAGACCAAGGTCTGAAGAGAAGGGAAATCAAGGCAAAGGAATTCAATGCCATGGTTGTGAAGGATATGGGTATATTCGAGCTGAATGTCCTACCTTTCTTAAGAAACAAAAGAAAGGAATGACTGTTACATGGTCTGACTGTGATTCAGAAAGTAATTCTGAAGAAGAATCTGCCAAACTAGTTACTGCACTAACTGGTCTTTGTACCTCTGAAAGTGACACTAGTGATGAGGAAGTGACATTTGAAGAACTGGCTGATACTTACAAGAAATTGTGTATTAGAAGTGCTGAAGTCTGTGTGCAAAATGAGAGACAAACAAAACTCATCATAAAGTTGGAGGCTGAAAAAAGGGCAGACCTTGAATCTATAAGTCATCTAGAAGGGGAAGTTCAAATGCTGAACTCAAAATTGAACCAGATGACCAAATCTGTCAAGATGCTGACAAATGGAACTGACAAATTGGAAGAAATCCTTCAGGTTGGACAAAATGTGGGAAACAAGTCTGGTCTAGGATTTGTGGCAGCAAAGAAATCTGGTGCAGACAAGAAGATCAGGTCTGATAAAAAAATGTCAAAGCAGATGTCACAACAGAACACTCAACATCGGGAACAGAGAAATATGAAGAAAAAGTACCAAAGATGGAGATGTCATCATTGTGGGAGGTTTGGTCACATAAAGCCTTTCTGCTTCAGATTGTATGGATACCCTAATCAGAACCCAGGTGTCAAACCTAAGTCTAACAGGGTACCACATACTCCTCAATGGAAGAAAAAGGCTACTGCCCTGATAGCCCACACTTCCCTGAGAGTCTCTGCAAAGGAAGACTGGTACTTTGACAGTGGGTGTTCTAAGCACATGACTGGAATCAAGAACCTTCTCAATAATGTTAAACCTCACACCACTAGTTATGTGACCTTTGGAGATGGTGCTAGAGGTGAAATCAAAGGAGTTGGTAATTTGGACTGCCCTGGAGTTCCAAATCTGAATGAAGTACTATTGGTAAAAGGCCTGACTGCTAATCTCATTAGTATCAGTCAATTATGTGATCTATGATTCAAGGTCAACTTCTCAAAATCTTAATGTCTTGTAATTAATGAAAAACAAGAAGTTGTAATGAAAGGAGTCAGATCTAAAGACAACTGTTACTTGTGGGAGCCTGAGAACACTAATTACTCCATTGTGTGTTCTATTGCCAAAGAAGAAAAAGAGGTGAAACTGTGGCACCAAAAACTTGGCCATCTTCATCTAAGAGGAATGAAAAGGATTATCTCCATGGAGGCAGTCAGAGGAATTCCAAGACTGCAAATTGATGAAGGGAGAGTTTGTGGTGAATGTCAGGTTGGTAAGCAGACTAGGATGTCACATCCAAAGTCAAGACATCTGACCACCTCTAAGGTTCTGGAACTTCTACATATGGATCTGATGGGACCAATGCAGGTGGAAAGTCTTGGTGGAAAGAGATATGCCTATGTTGTTGTGGATGACTATTCCAGATTCACCTGGATTAACTTCATTAAGGAAAAATCTGATGTGTTTGAAGTTTTTAAAGAACTATGCAAAAGAATTCAAAGAGAAAAAGAAGGGTGTATTGTCAGAATCAGAAGTGATCATGGCAAGGAATTTGAAAACAGTAAGTTTAATGAGTTCTGTTCCTCATAAGGAATTAGTCATGAATTCTCTTCTCCTATAACTCCTCAACAAAATGGAGTTGTAGAAAGGAAAAATAGGACCATACAGGAATCTACCAGAGCTATGATACATGCCAAAAGACTTCTGTAGCGATAAAAAATGTAGCGGGGTAAATCAAAGATCGAATTATTGATTAATTCGTCTCACAAAAAGCAAGAGTCTCCACCGCGCTTTATTATTTCCAAGGGAAAAGGGAAAAGAGCGAAATAAAACCCTAAATATGCAATGTAAAATAATACTTTTAAAAAA